TCCATCCCTGGGGCAGGAGAGGGGTCTCGCTCCAGCGCACCAGTTCCTGCGTCACCGGCCTCCCAGCAGCGGCTCAGTGCCCGGCAGCTAGCAAAGCCCACGGACAGAGAGGCAGGAAGCCGGCTGCACGCAGGACCGTCCTGCAGGCCCTGCCAGAGCCAGGTGAGCAGGGGGACAGGTGGCACACGAACAGTGTCCGCTGAGCTAGCGCACTCAGATCTCACAATCTGCAGAGGGCAGCGGCTTCCCGTTTTGTAGGCAGAGAAGCACACGCTCCGGAGGAGGTGGAGGACGGTGTTCTTGCGTGAGGAAGGCCCCCAGGGCGCGTCCACACCCCCTCCCCCCATCCGGAGTAGCGTCTGGGCAGTGGGTGCCGAAGCAGCGTGGACGAACGGCCTGGTGGAAGACACCGGCCGAGGATTAGCTACCGTGAAGACGCGAGGAGAGTGTGGACGTGAAGTGCCTGGCGCTGTGCTTGGCCCACCCTGGGGTCTCCGTGTGTGTGAAATTTCTTCCTCTGACCCCTCTGAGCGCAGCAGCGGTCTTACCAGAAGCGAGCCTTCGTGCCCAGCTCAGTGGCCACCTTCAGGGAGCTGCCCCTGAGCCTCCAGATAACGGCCCCCAGCCTCTCCAGCACGTCTCCGCCGGCCCCAGCCAACCAGCGCGGAAGCCTGTTCCAGGTTCCCCGTGTGAACAGCACAGCAAGGCTCGCCCGTGTGATTCCAGAGCAGAAGGCACGCCCTCGGTCTGTCTCTGTGTCTGTCTGTCTCCTGTGTCCAGCCCCTCCTTGAAGAGCTGCCTGCAACTTTCTCAGCCCCTTCACTCCCCCACCCACGGCCATCTGGCGCCCCGAGATCACTTTCTGGCAGCGTTTGGTGCTGCTGTCGGTCGACCCTCCTTTCTGAACCTGTTTCCTCAATATCGTGATCGCTCCTACCTCCCCAGCTTATTCTGAGGACTGGATCCCCCCCTCCCTCGGTGCTCAGCAATGTTTCAGAACCCCTCTGTGCAGGCTCCCGCTGGCTCTCGCGGTCCTGACTGCAGAGGCGCGCGGATGCTGCTATAGCAAACGGGAGAGAGCCGCACTCTGCCTGCCCCTCCCGGACACGCGGGAGGTGGGCTCTGTGTCTGTCCCGCCACCTCCGGGTCCCTGAGAATCGGTAGTGAGAAGGGGGTCGGATTGGCTCTCTGAAATCCCCTCTCCCTGTGCTGGTCCCAGGTCCTGGCCCCCCTCCTCAGCCCTCTCGGCCCCTCCTCTACAGTGAGCCCTCTCACCATGAGCCCCTCCTGGCGTGCAGCCAGGAGGCCCCGGAGGCTGAGCGCGGCGGTTTCTGTGTCTGGACTTTTTTTTTTTTTTTAATATATTTTTTTATTGATTTTTTTTTACAGAGAGGAAGGGAGAGAGGGAGAGAGAGCCAGAAACGTCGATGAGAGAGAAACATCGACCAGCTGCCTCCTGCACATCCCCCACCAGGGATGTGCCCGCAGCCAACGTACATGCCCTTGACCGGAATCGAACCCGGGACCTTTCAGTCCGCAGTCCGACGCTCTACCACTGAGCCACACCGGTTTCGGCTGTGTCTGGGCTTTTTGAAGCTCAGCTGCCCCCCTTCCGGATGGGGTATGAGGTGCCGCTTCCTGGCCAGAACTGCCAGTGGCCTGAGGGGCACGTCAGAGGCCGGAGGGACTAGGGCTCTCAGTGATAAGGCTGCAGGGGGCTTGGCCCAGGTCTGCCACTCCAGGCATCTGCAACCCTCACCCCCGAGCTGAGGGCCTCCCTGTGGGAAGAGCCGGTGCCATGGTAAGAACAGGCTTCCGAGAGGTCAGATGTGAATAAGTTTCAGCTCTGCCGCTAAGCAGCTGTGGGCGAATCGTTCATCTCTCTGAACTTCAGTTTCCTCACTTGTAAACGGGGAATACTTTTCTATTCTATTTTATTTTTTATTTTTTTATTGATCTCAGAGAGGAAGGGAGAGAGAGAAACATCAATGATGAGGGAGAATCGTTGATTGGCTGCTTCCTGCATGCCCCCTATGGGGATCAAGCCAACCACCCGAGCATGTGCCGTTGACCAGAATCGAACCCGGGACCCTTCAGTCCACAGGTTGACGCTCTATCCACTGAGCCAAACCAGCTAGGGTTAGGGATACTTTTACTAGTATTCCACCTCTCAGCAGATATTTACTGAGCACCTAGGCTGGCCAGGGCTGAAATACCCCAATGATAAAACAAAGATGTTTGCTTTTTGGCTGATCACGTGCTGGTGGGGAGACAGACAGTACCAGCCAGGAATCTCAGCCAGGGTAGTACTGTCCCCAGGGGGTATTTAGAAATGTTGGGGGACACTAACCCCCCTCCCCCCAGAGCTGTGAGGGTTAAGTGGGACAATGTGCACAAGTAGCGAGCATTGGCCTGGCACATAGTATGTGCTCAATAAATACCTGGTGATAAACGAGCCAGTAAAAGCAATTCTGTGAGCCCTGATTACCAAACAGGGACACGGAGTTGGTAATTCTTTCCTTGCAAAGTTGTGATAAAGGGGAGGAGGGCACTCCCTAATTCTGGCCTCTGCCTCCAGGACCACACTCATGGGAAGCTCCCCAAGTCCCTTGGGCTTTGGTTAATGGAGAGACGTGGCTCCTTGGGGCCCAACCAGAACCCCCAGGAGGCAGCCTCCCTGCTCCTGTCCTCTGCCTCTCCCCTTTCCACCAGAGGGAGGCGCCAGGCAGCCCTGGCAGCCAGGAGGGAAGACCAGTGCACTAGGGCGGGAAGAGAGGTGGTGTTCTGGGGGTGGAATGAACATCTCAGAGGTGAGCGATGTCAGAGACAGCAATGGATGGCTCCGTGGGTGCTGTCACGGCCCTGCCCGCATCCTGTGACATTCCCATTCCCAGGCAGGCGGACAGCTGTGCCTGCCACCGCTGGACCCAGCCCCATTCCCAGGCAGCTGGAAACGCCAGGGTGATGCCCGCAGCAGCCTCGCCCAGGGACAGTGGCCGCTGGGGGACAAACACTCCACTTCGTCGCCCCTCAGTGGAGCAACTTGGGGCGTAGCCTACACTGCCTCTGGATGCCGGGTTCTTTTCCCAGCCTTACAAAGGGTTCAGCGTTCTGGAGAAAGGGGCTGCCCGTAGATGATTAAGAAGGAGTCCAAGGACGAAAGGTATTTTTGAAAGGCGTTGGGGGTCAGAGGAGCTTCAGCTGAAGGGAGCTAAAGACTCTTCCCTTGGCCAAGGACCTGTGCTTTTATTATAACACAATTTGTCCGAGGCAAGGTGGAAATATACACTTCAAAGGGTACGGGATCAAAGGGCATTGTCAGATTGGGGAATAGCCTACAGCTGTTCAGGTGTTTGGCCAACCTGAGGCAATAAAATGCCCTGAGCTGTCTGGCAGCTAACAATAATGCTATTCAGGTTTGGGGGAAGCGCCTAGCCCTTTCCAACCGGTAAATTACACGTGTGGCTCACCCTTGTGGAGCCCCCCAAGCTTCACCAACCTCTGGTAAAACTCTTGTACTGTTTCATGCTGGAATTGGCTCTCGGCACCTGGAGGAGCCCATGGGAGCTGAGTCGTGTTGGCCCACAACGAACGGCAAGCTGCCCATCAACACCCCGAACTGGCTTCTCATCCTGAACCTTCCCACCTGCCAATCAAGCCCACAGGTAAGCAGATCCCTCAGGCCTGCCTGTTCCCGATGCTCTTTGCTGAGCACCTTCCAGGTGGCCTCCACGCTGGGCTCCCCGGGGACCTCCTGATAAAGGACGGGCCAGGGCAGCATGTGGTCTGGCAGGTGGACATGTGAGTCCCTGTGAGGAATAGAATCATACTTGCTCCTAAGCACGGAGCCAGGCCTGGCGAAGCCTTCCCCCACACGAGCTCACCGAAGGCTCCCAGCAGCCTGCCGCTACTGCTGTCCAGCCGGGGCCGGGCCTCGGGGAGCTCAGGTGACTTCCCGGCTCCCACCGTCTGGCAGTGACTGGGAGAGCCAGGGCTCAGCCCTGTCTGTCTCACCGGAGCCCAGGCTGCTCATTGGGAGGCGGGAATGTGCCCCCTGGACCCCAGATGCCCCGTGCCTGGTGCGGGCTCTGAGCAGAGGCGCTTAGGAAATGCGTGTCAGGCCGAACGGAACCCAATGGGGCTCCTGGAGGAAATAGAAGGTCCAGGCTCCTGTTGGACGCCCAGCCGTGGAGGGCATTTCTGCAGCCGAGCTCTGAGCACAGGGTCTGGCTCCTAGGGATGTTCCGGCAAGGTCTGTGGATCCATAAAGGGGTGAACACTTCATATTCCTGGCCAGAATGTACAGTGTGGTCCTGACTGCGTTAGGAGCGGCCCAATATGATTATCCCCTGTGTCCTTCCTGCTGCGTTCTTCCACGAAGACGTTGCCCTCGTCAGCTGACCACGCCTGCCTCCTTCCCTCTCCCTCCGAGCTCACCGGAGCATGTCCGAAGGGCGCTTGTCCCGTCGTCCCCCTTCTTAGAGATGCCCTTCAGTTGCCCTGTGAAGGGGCGATAGGAAAAACCTGTGCAAGCACCCGCTATGTGCTTAACATTTCATTTCCACCACCAGCCTATTGGCAGGGCTGAATGGTCCCACTGGACAGAGGGGTAAGACTGAGGCCTAGAGGAGTGAGATGGTTTGTTCCAGGTCCCCCAGCCAGTTCGGGGCTGTTCTGGGATGGACAGGAGTCTGTCAAGCCCCAGACTCATGCCCCTTCTCCACCACCCAGTTCCCTTCCAGCCCCCGCCGGCTTCCCTTCCCCAGCAGCCGGCCGCCCGGCCCGGGCAGATCTCAGAACGTGTAAACCGGGCGACACCAGATCCGTCACCTCAGGGTGGAGTGAAGGAAGCACCCGGGGATCAGGTTACTAATTCGAGGCACCGATCAATTATTCACTCCGCCATTAACTTGAAGGCCCTTCCAGTCTCACCTCACTTTCCCCTGCTCCGGACCCTCTGCTCCTGGCCCGCAGACGTGTGGGGGGTCCCAGGTGGGGAGATGCTGGCCGAGCTGGGGTCCTGTCTGCTGCTGGCAGTGGCTCTGCTGGGCCCAGGCCCCAGGGCCCGAGCCATGAAAGGTAGGAGCTCCTGGCGACAGGCCTGGATGGGAGGAGGGGAGAGGAGTGGGCAGGCACAGCGGGGTCCCGGGAGGTTTCTCTGTGTGTGTGTGGGGGGGGGGGGGCAGGAAGCAGGGGGACCCTTTGGGAAGTTGGCTGAGTTGGGAATGCATTCGCTTCTGAGATGGGGGAAGAGAGAACTTACTGAGCGCCTGCTGTGGGCTGGATGCTTTCCATTTGTGATTGCATTTGATGTTCACAACAGACTCCAAGGTGGGTGTTAGTCCCCCGTGTTACAGGTGAAAAAACCCGAGGGTGAGAGAGGTTAGTAGCCTGTCCGAGGCCGCCCGGCCGCCACGGCGAAGGGAATGGCTCGGAGAACTGCCGCCGCCGGTTTGTGGCTGGAAGGGGTCTTCGTTCTGCCCCCCGAGAGCCTGCTGTCCTCCCCCTGCCGACCCGGGGAAATCAAAGTTTCTCGTGGCTCCGTTTCCACAGAATTTCCAGCCGCCCCAGGGTCACGCCCCTCCGGAGATGCTCTGCCCTTGCGGCTCTCACCCTCAGCTCCTCTGCCTGGAGGGTCCCTTTTGTCTGTCCCACCTGAGAGCATCTGGCTCATCCATCAGACAAAGGTCAAACACCACCTCCTCCAGGAACCTTCCCAGGTCCCTTCATCCTCCTCAGATGCTCCTTCCTTCGGGCTCTCTGAGCCCTCTGCCCGCACCCCGGCCCCAGGCCACTTTGCCCTTAGCCCTTGAGTGCTGTGTGGGTGTCTGGGGAGTGACGAGGGGTGTGCATGCCGTTGGGGCTCAGCAAACCACCGCTGGAGCCTCATTGTCTGCAGGCTCACAGGGGTGGGGAGGGGTGGGATGGGGTGGGACGGGGTGGGGTGGGGGACTCAGGAAGGAAACATAACTTTCCAGTCACCTCGTGGGTGGCACAGATGGGCTGACACCAGGTGTCTCACGTCATGCCTGGGGAGTGGGAGGAGCTGGCCGTCCCCATTCTCCAGGACCCAGGCTTTGGTGGCCTTGGGTGACCTTGAGGGTCAGGGTGCCTGGCTGAGTCCCTCCTGGTGGTGCCAGGGCCTCCTGGGCCATAGAAGTCCTGCGTCGACTCTGCCACGGCCTTTCCTGTCCTGTGGGACGGCGGGGGAAGGACAAGGACAGCTACCAGACAGACTCCCTCTGTCCCCGCCATACAGGCAGGAAGCAGACGGCGTTCCCGCCCTGGCCTGACCCCGTGGCCAGGCAGGGGGCAGGGGGTGGGACCGGTGTGCATACTGCAGTCCTGCATGGCTTTGTGCCGTCACTGCCTGAAGCGACCCGGCAAGGGAGGTGCCATTCTCCCCATTTTACAGACACACGACTGAGGCTCAGAAGCGATGGTGGGTCTGAGCCTTTGCTCATGCTGTTCCCTCTCTTCAAACCTTCCGAACAAACATACCTTCTCATTTTTCCTAGTCAAACTCAAATACCACCTCCTCTGTGAATCTTGTCCCCCCCAGCAAAGCTGGCCCCCGCCCCCGGACCCTGGTGTGACCAAAGCACAATCACGCTGCAGGACTTTGTCTCGTTTGCTTGGCTTTCCCCCTCCCATTCCCCTCCTCCCCACTGTGAGCCCCAGGGAGGGGCCCATCGGGAATCAGCACAGTCCTGGGACAGGCACATGCTCCGTGAGGCTGTCTTCTTTTACAGGAACTTTTTATTTAAAAAAAAAAAAAAAGTCTTGCCGAAACTGGTTTGGCTCAGTGGATAGAGCGTCGGCCTGCAGACTGAAAGGTCCCAGGTTTGATTCCGGTCAAGGGCATGTACCTTGGTTGTGGGCATATCCCCAGTAGGGGGTGTGCAAGAGGCAGCTGATCGATGATTCTCTCTCATCGATGTTTCTAACTCTCTATCCCTCTCTCTTCCTCTCTGTAAAAAATCAATTAAAATATATTCAACAAATAAAATATATATAAAAAACTCTTATTGATTTGAGACAGAGAGAGAGAGAGAAAGGGAAAGGGAAAGAGAATCATCTTAAACTGATCGGCTGCCTCCTGCACATCCCCTGCCAAGGACCGAGCCTGCAACCCGGGCATGTGCCCTGACAGGGAATCGAACTGGTGACCTCTTGGTGCATAGGACCGATGCTCAACCAACTGAGCCACACATACTGGCTGGACTTAAGGGTATTATTCACGATGGTTTTGAATGCAAGTGACAAACCCAATGAAGTTGGAGCAAAAAGAGGAATGCATTGCATTGGCTCTGTCATGAGGGAGGCAGGAGTGTAACGTAGCTGGACTCAGGGATGCCTTCAGCCAGGAAATCTTGGCTTCAAGGTCATTTCCACTTTTCACATGGTTCTTGCCACCTGCTGACAAGCTTCCTCAAAGGGCTCTGTGCATGGTCCCGCCCAGGCCCTCACTCCCAGCCCGGGGGCCAGGGAGGACAGGGCTCTCCTCCAGGTGTTTTGCAGCAGGACTCTGGCCTGACCTACACCACAGGCACCTTGCGGCCAGTCACGGCAGTGGTGGAGGGAGCCCCAGGATTGCCCGGCTGGCTCATGTGTCAACCGTATGGCAGGAGTGTTACCACAAGGAGGCAGGGGATCCAGTGTCTAAAAGAGGGAGCGTGTTGTTGCAAGAGACAGAGAAATGGGCTTTGGGCAGACCAAAGCAATAGATGACAATGACAGCAAGTAACTTCCCTTTTCGGGCCTCAGTTTTCCCATCTGTAAAATGGAGTGAATAACACTTGCTTTGTCTATTTTATGGGGCCATTGTGAGTATGCTATAAGATCATTCACTCATTCTTTCAGGAAATATGTATTGAGCACCTGCTTTATGCCAGGTGTTATTCTAGGTACTTGGGGTACAGCAGAAAACAAAACACAAAAAAGTCCTGCTCTCAGAGAGCTTACCTTCTGTGGAGAGAGACTAGCAGTGGACAAACAAGTCAAATAGACAGTGTGCACCGGATGGTGGTAAGAGCTATGGAAAAAGATGTAGAGGAAAGGTAGAGAAAGAATATAGAGATGGGAGGGTTACAGTGGTTAGGGAAAGCCTCACTCAGAAGGTGACCAAGAATGTGCTGGTTATTTATTTATTTATTTTTTTACCTTTAATTACAACAAATTTCAAACGTACACAATGCATCTCTATGACTCCAACAACCATCTTCAAGAATTACCAACATTCTGCCTGTCTTATTTCTTTATCCTATCCCACCTCCATTTTGTGGGGGGGATGGTTCTGGACATATTTAAGGCCAATCTCAGATATATTATTTCACCATAAATATTTCAGACTATACCTTAACAGAGAAAGATATATATACTGTCCTCTCCCCCAGGATTGACTTTTTAAAAAAATTCATTATTTTTTTTTTTTAAATACCGGTATATTTTTATTGAGTTCAGAGAGGAAAGGAAAGGGAGAGATAGAAACATCAATGATGAGAGAGAATCATTGGTTGGCTGCCTCCTGCATGCCCCCCATTGGGGATCAAGCCTGCAACCTGGGCATGTTCCCTTGATCAGAATCGAACCTAGGACCCTTCGGTCCACAGGCTGAACTCTATCCACTGAGCCAAATCGGCTAGGGCTGACTTTTTTTTTTTTTTTTTTTTAGATTCCACATGTAAGTGATATGCAATATTTGTCTTTGTCTTATTTAATTTAGTAGAATGTCCTCAAGGCCCACCCATGTCACAAATGAAAGAATGGATTTTATGTACTAGATCTTTATGGCATAAATTCTTTTATTTTTATTTTTTTAAAATACTGATTTCAGAGAGGAGGAGAGAAGAGAGAAAGATAGAAATATTAATGATGAGAGAGAATCATTGATCGGATGCCTTCTGCATGCCCCACACTGGGCATGTGCCCTGACCAGGAATCAAACCGTGACCTTCTGGTTCATAGGTCAATGCTCAACCACTGAGCCACATGGGCCAGGCTAAAATGGCCTTCTTTTAATTCCAGTGCGTGCATGTGTGTGTGTGTGTGTGTGTGTGTGTGTGTATTACATCTTCCTCATCCATTCATCTATTTATGGACATTTACGGTGTTTCCTTATCCTGGTTATCATAAATGCTGGAATGAACATAGGACTGCAGATAACTCTTCAATATCCTATTTTTATTTCCTTTGGACATTTACCCAGGGTGATTGGTGGGCCATAGGGTAATTCTAATTTTAACTTTCTGAGGACCCTCCGCACTGTTTCCCTGATGGCAGCACCATTCACGTTCCCAACCACGGGCACGGGGTTCCCTTCTCTCCACATCCTCGCCATCACTTGCTATCTCTTGCCTTTTGGATGATGTTCATTTTGACAGGTGTGTGGTGATGTCGCGTGTTGTTTTGATTTGCATTTCCCTGAAGGTTTGTGATGTGGAGCACCTTTCCATGTCCCTGGTGGCCATTTGTCTGTCTTCTTTGGAAAATGTCTGTTCAGTTTCTTGGCCTATTTTTTTAAATCAGACTATGTGTTTTGTTTGTTTTTTGCTATTGGGTTGTATGACTTCTTTGTATATTTTGGATATTCAACCCTTATCAGATGTATGATTTACAAATATTTTCACTGATTCCATAGGTTGCCTTTTCATCTTATTGCCTATAAAAGTAACTCTTTTTTTTTTTATTATAAAAATGTTCAAATATATAGAAAAGTTGAAACAATTTTACAGGGAATACCTATTTACCCATCCTCATTTACCTTTTTACTCAGGGATTAGAACAGACATCGAAGATGATTATTTCGTTAAGGTTTACAAAATTACATTTTCCAAGCACAGCCTTTCTCTCTGCAGTCAATTGTAAATAACAGCGTCCCTTCATCGGCTGTTTGGTTATCCCAAAGCACAGTCCTCAACAGGAAAGGCAAAGTAGATACTTAATTCTTTCTCTAGATATTAATTTTTTTAAAAAATGAGTTTATGCCCCAGCAACCACTAAAGGAAATTAGTGAGTTTCTTTTTGATTTCTTTAGCGTTGCATTATGAATGCATGAATGTTTACGTATTTACTGTGTTTCCATCCACCGCAATCATTATTCTCTTTTGATGCTTAAATTGTACCCTGTGCAGCCAGGGGAGCCCTGCAGGTAGGCATCTTTAGACACAATCCCAGCAGACTCCAGAAGCTTCTCTGCTTTCTGGTGTGACAAGATGTCCCGAGTGTATTGTGTGTATTTCCTGTCCTGGAGCCATGGTCCTCTAAGGAGCCCTGGTTCATTCTATGGACATAATAACCGTAATCCACGGCAGAAGGTGCAAAATATGGCTGTAACATTGTTTCTTTTAGGCCTTTTTAGTGAACAGAACCCGAAAATGATTTTTTAGAAATAAAAAAAAATTCTAAAAAGAAGTTTAAAAAAATCTTAAATTCATACTATGTTTTCAATTCAAATGAAGGGTCACAGGGTTTTACTTAATTTTTATATTTGTGTCACTATCACACTGAAGCCTTCGCTGCTGTCGACATCAGCATACTTGCTCTATTTCAATATATAAAATGCAGTGTCAGTATTTACTATTATTCCGAATAGTTAGTCTGCTGAACAGACTTTATGATTTCTTTGTGGTTTTGTTCTTGGATCTATTCCACCAGGCATGTACAGTCGAAATAGTCTTTCAAAGTCATGTGGCAGTCATTTTTCTCCATGTGACTGTGCCTTCAACTAGATATATAGTTAAATGTTTTGGTTTGGGATAGTTAAGGGTTACTTAAATATTTTTTATAGTTTAAAAATTATATGAATATTCTTCATAATTATATAGTCAAAATGATAGAACAACTTGCATGTAAAGAGTTCCAGCAGTCATGCCTGTTTCCTCTTTCCCCTGACAGAGAATAATTCATTTCCTTCCATTGTTTTCTTTTTAAAACTATAAGCAAATATGTACATAAAAGAAAATGCTTTTGCTTAGACCAGTGTGCTTAGTGGTTAGAGCGTGGGCCTGTGCACCAGTTTGTCTCGGGGTCAATTCCTGGTCAAAGGCATGTATTTGGGTTGCAGGTCTAATCTCCACCCCAGGTCAAAGCCTGTGTGTGAGACAACCAATCGATGTGTCTCTGTCACATCAATGTTTCTCTCTCTCTCTCTCTCTCTCTCTCTCTCTCTCTCTCTCTCTCTCTCTCTCTCTCTTTCTCTCTCCCCCTTCCATTCTCTCTAAAACTCAATGGAAAAAATATCCTCACTCCTCGGATGAGGATTTAAAAAAAGAATATACTTTATAGCATTATATTATACTTTATATTATACTTTATAGGTTGTGCACATTTTCAAATAGGGTGAGGGTGAGGGATTATTATTTCTTTAAATTTTTAAATTCCCTCCTGCACCTGTCCAGGGCTTAACACATGGCCCTATTTTATCTAAAATTATTGGCTCACCCTGACACTGTCTCCTTTCCCTGCCTTTTCTCCGTAGCACTTACTGGTATAACTATTTAATATACTCTGTATTTTGCTTATTATGTTTGTTGTCTGTCTTCCCCACCAAACGTAAACTCCATGAGGCAGGAATTTCGTCTGCTTTGTTCTTGCTCTAACCCCAGCAACTAGAACAATGCCTAGCACTCAAAAAACATTTGTTGAATGAATAAATAATGCTTTATACATACTTGAATAAGTAAACAAATGAACAACTACATGAATGAATGAATGAATGAATGACCTTAGGACCATGCCCCCGTGCTCCTTCATCCCACCCCGATAACCCGACTTCGCTGGGCCCACCACCGAGACCCCAGTGCTGACTGAGTCATTCTTCTTCCCTCTTACCGCAGGTGTCAAATGTGGGGGAGTGCTCTCAGCACCTTCTGGAAACTTCTCCAGCCCCAACTTCCCCGGACTCTACCCCTACAACACGGAGTGCAGCTGGCTGATCGTGGTGGCCGAGGGCTCCTCCGTACTCCTCACCTTCCACGCCTTTGACCTGGAGTACCACGACACCTGCGGCTTCGACTTCCTGGAGATCTACAACGGGGCCGCGGGGGACCAGGGCAACCTGCTGGGGCGGTTCTGCGGCCAGGTGCCCCCACCACCCTTCACCTCCTCCTGGCATATCCTGTCGGTCATCTTCCACTCGGACAAGCACGTGGCCAGCCGTGGCTTCTCCGCAGGCTACCAGAAAGGCAAGGGGGCCTTGGCGGTGCAGAGGGCGGGCCTGGGTGGAGGCGGGGGAAGGCTTGCAGGGGCTCGGCATCTTGGCTGGGAGGCTGCTCTGGAACCCTGATGGCCCTGCTCTCGTGGCTCATGGGGCAAAGGCAGCCTCTGTTTGCAATCTCTGTAGTGGCGGGTTCCCATCTTCCTGTTCCTGGGAGCCCCGAGGTCTCTCTGCGCTCAGGACGCGGCCTCACGAGCTCATCCCGTTCCTATCCTTTTTTTTTTTTTTTTTTTTTTTTTTAATATAAATAACCTCTTTTCTTTTTTTTTTTTCTTAAGCATATTTTATTGATTTTTTACAGAGAGGAAGAGAAAGGAATAGAGAGTTAGAAACATCGATGAGAGAGAATCATTGATCAGCTGCCTCTTGCAGAGAGAATCATCGAACAGCTGCCTCTTGCACACCCCCTACTGGGGATGTGCCTGCAACCAAGATACATGCCCTTAACCAAAATCGAACCTGGGACTGTAGTCTGTAGGCCTGACACTCTATCCACTGAGTCAAACCAGTTTCCACCATTCTTATCCTTCTTATCCCTGCCCTGGCATCCAGGCACAGGAGGGCGCCATGCTGTCACTGCTGTGGGTCCCTCTGATTCACGCTCACGTGACCCACCCACCTCCCAAGTCCTCTGACGGAGGGGCACAAGGGTCTGTGTGGACCTGGTGTGCTCTCCCTCCCAAAGCCTTTCCGAACTCGCCTCTCCTACTAGCATCTGGGGTCCTGACCCTTCCCTCCTTCCACCAGGATGGCAGCTGCCCGCAGTCCCCGAGGGAGGCAGAGGCCTGGCTCTCCTGGCCGCTCTCCCTGACTCATCCGCCTGCCCTAGGCTCCTCTCACAAACTCACCCCCTGCCTCCTCCCAAGGCCAAAGCCAAGGCCTTCTTCCTGGGAGCTGGAGTGCTAGGCCGCCTGAGGCTCCTGGCACACAGTCCGCCAACGGCAGTGGGGGCGGGGCTCAGGGGGGCCCAGCTCTCTCTGGCTTCAGAGGCAGAGAACTATAGGTGCTAAAACACAAGAAATCACAGGCCGATTTAATAGCAGTTTTGGAACCTTAGACCGTTAGATTTTTAGGATGTTTAGATATCAAAGTCATAATACCATGGGCAGTGTGTTCCAGCCTTCTTTAAAGCAGCGGTCCCCGTCTATCAGATGGAATCTTCTGTTAATCCCTGATAGAGATAAAGGCGGCATTTTAGCGTATGCATTTATTTTGTAAGCTCCTATTTTTAACATTTCCTTATTATAAGCCCATCACTGAAGATGGAAGTCAATATGTGTGGCCTCCAGTGAGTTAAATTTTTACATGTAAGACGTTACTGTGGACTCTGCCTTCCACAGCATTAAAACATGGTTTGAAAACAGCGTGAGGATGAGATTCGCACCAGATGCCTGGAGAGCGACGCTCCCGGCGGCCACTGGGGAGCCCCGAGCACGAGTGCCAAGTCTCCTAAGGCGTTTGCCTTGGGAGGGATCAGAGATGGCCAGACCTGCCCTCTCATTTCACAAACAACACATCCGAGTCCAGAGAGAGACATCCAAGGTCACACAGCTCAGAAGGGAAGTCCTTAGTAGCCCAGCACAGTGCTCGGTCCAACAATCCGAGGAAATACACCCGAGTGTGCACTCCCTGCTGGTGGCCCCAGCTAGTCCCAGCATTCATCATCAACCACCTCCTGGTTGTACTGGTCACAATCCATCTTCTCAGGCTCCGCATGGATCCGAGCCCAGTGGATCAGGCTGGGCAGGTCTTATGATTGCTAATGTTCCCATGAGGCTCAGAGAGGCCGAGTGACCTGCCCAGGGTCACACAGCTAATAGGAGGCAGCGTTGGGAGGACACCTGTCTCCAGACTTCAAGCCTCTCTCTACTTTGTCAGATCCTCTCTCTGAGCCTCCGTTTCTTCACCTGATGGGGAGGTTTAATAGCATTTCTGGACTCAGGCACCTCAGCCTCGGCACCCCCCTGGCCTGGCAGGAGGGGACAGTGACCATCACAAGGTCATGTGCACAGGCTCTGCCATCAGTCAGACCCCGTTGTCCACGTTACCAGACCGGTGACCTGCTGTCAGGGCCCCACCCACGTTCCCTCGGGCCTTGTCACTTTAACGACCCCTGCCAACCTCCTCGTCTCTTTGCTTGAGGGCTTTCTCTGAAGCCCCGCTGTTCACCTCTACCCCAGCACCCCGGCCTGGATCCCCGGGAGTGGGTGTATGAACGCCCCACTTCCCTAGTCTTAGGCGACATGACTCTGAGGTGAATGCTTTGCAGGGTTCCCCACAGGCTCCACCACTGGCTTGGCAACGCCTGTCAGTGGCCGCCTCCCCTTTCCTCCCTTTTCCTTCCCTTTGGTGTCCCTCACGCCATCACCCCCACCCGGGACCCCGTGTCTCCCACACAAACTCACTGAGCTCAAATCCTGTCTCAGAGCCCAGGTGAACCCAAACTCACATGGTAAGTTACTTAACTTCCTGGGGTGCCATCTTCTTCTTTTTTTAAAATGTCTTTATTGATTAAGGTGTCACATATGTGTCCTTATTCCCCCATTCCCCCCCATCTCCCTCACTCATGCCCTCGCCCCCTGTTGCCTGTGTCCATTGGTCAGGCTTCCATGCATGCGTGCAAGTCCTCTGGTCGATCTTCCATCTTCTTGACTGTAAGCTGGGAAGCTAACCCTAACCCCGCACCCCCATAGCATAGGGTTATTTATGGTGACGTCTACAAAGGCGGTGTGAGCGCCAAGGCCCGGCCTGTGCCTGCCACTTGGCAAGTGCCCAGTGGGTGGTGACGAGGTGCCCAGGCCTGAGGGAGTGGCATGTCGGGGCGCTGGGTTGCCTTGGGAGGGGATCCACGGGGAAGGAGAAGGGTTGGTTCACCACGGGCTCGCTTACAGATGCGTGCGGCGGCGTCCTGACGGGCCTGTCGGGGGTCCTCACCAGCCCCGGATACCCCGACCACTACCCCAACGACGCGGAGTGCCGCTGGGTGATCCGGGCCGCCGGCCCCGCCACCGTCAAGCTGGTGTTCGCCGACTTCCAGGTGGAGGGCAGCGCCGAGTGCGCCTACGACTACGTGGCGGTGCTGGGGGCGCCGGGGCCCGCCCGCGGGCACCGCTTCTGCGGCGGCGCCCGGCCCCCCGCCCTGGTGTCCCGGGGCTTCGAGCTGCAGGTGGTTTTCAAGTCCGACTTCAACATCGGAGGCCGGGGCTTCAAGGCCTACTTCTTCTCAGGTAGGAGGGCCTGGGGCAGCCCGGACCCCTGTGCGTGCCGGGCCCCGCGTCCCCGCGTGCGTGTGGGCAGAGAGAGCATCCGCCCCTGCCTCCGGGCTCTGTGCTTTCTGCCCTCTCGCCGCCTGGAAGGCCCTCGCACAGCCTTTCCTGCCCAGCCAACGCCGAGGCGTGAACACGCCACCTCCTCGGTGAAGCCTTCCTGGTTCCCCCAGAATCAACCCAAGGGTTAGCACTGCTCTCACACACCGCTGCTGGGTGTGCTGTGCCTGCTGATCTCCCCTGCCTGACCGGGAGCTCCTATGGGCTTGTCTTTGCACCTGTCACGCGGCAGATATTCAATGAGCTGTTGGTACGAGTGAACGAATGAACCTTTGGGTGTGCGCCCTCCACGGGAGGAGATGGAAAAGGAAACAGACCGTGACAGACAGCTCACTGTGACCTCTGCTATGTAACAGGAAGAATCACGGAGGGCAGCCTGGAAGAAAAGAGAATTAGGCAGAAGGGGAGAGAATTAGGCAGAAGGGGAGAGAATTAGGCAGTGCTCTGAAGGAGTCAGCCAGAGGCAGAAGGAAGGGAAGGGGGTTCCAAGCAGAGGGATCTGCCTGTGCAAAGGCGTGGAGGACAGAGAGGGCTCGCTGTGCGTGCAGTACTAGCTGTGTGTGAGGCCGGAAGGTGGGGTGGGTGAGGGGCAGTGAGGAAAGGGGCCAGGTCCGGTCGTGAACCACAGGGTCACGTCCAAGTCCGGACTCCACTCTGAGGACGGGTGTAGGGCCTGTTTTTGAATTCTTACCGGAGCCAGCACTCCTGAAGGGGAGTGTCACTAGGAGTGAGAGTCCCGGCTTTCAGCTGGCCTCAGGCTAGCACCGGCTTTGGGATGGATTGCCTGGTTTGCCCTGGTGCCCACAATCCGCCACGGTGCTGCTGGGACCACGATAGTGACTGTTGCTCCAACGGTGGCTGCCGAAAGCGACGGTCTCCATCCTTCTCACCATGCCTCCTTCTGCCCGCCCCTCCCAGGGGAATGCCAGGAGGTGTACACGGCCGTGCGGGGCAACTTCTCCAGCCCCCACTACCCCAGCGCCTACCCCAACAACGTCCGCTGCCACTGGACCATCCGCCTGCCTCCCGGCTACCGGGTCAAGCTGTTCTTCCTGGACCTGGAATTGGAGGGGCCCAACAGCCTCACCAAGACCTGCGACTTCGACCACCTGGCGGCCTTCGACGGGGCCAGCGAGGAGGCGCCCCTGCTGGGGCGCTGGTGCGGCCGCCACCTGCCCCCGCCCGTCACCTCCAGCCGCAGCCAGCTCCTGCTCCTGCTCCGGGCCGACCGCAGCACCTCCAGCAGGGGCTTCTCCGTGGCCTACATAGGAGGTCAGCGGGGTGCAGGGGGCGGGGGAGGGTGGCACGGGAGGGGAAGGCGAGACTGGGGGTTCCAGGTCTTCGCAGTCTCCTTCCTCCATCCCACAAACTGGCTTCGCCATCCTCTTCCCGGGCCCCCCTCCGCCAGCGCCTCCTCTGGGACCTCTGAGCCTGCACCAGTGTGGCCCGGGCTGATTGCCACTATTGCAGGGACCTACCCTTCCAGCTCCCAACTCTGCAATCCCTGCTCCCTTCTCATGCGGCTCTTCCCTCTCGATCTGGCCCCTCTTGATCTTGATCCTCTAGCCCAGTGGTCGGCAAAGTGTTTGGTCAACAGAGCCAAATACAATCAACAGTTCAACGATTGAGATTCCTTTTGAGAGCCAAATTTTTTAAACTTAAACTATCTAGGCAGGTGCATTGTCATTAACTTAATTAGGGTCCTCCTAAGCTGGCCTTTGCTAAAAGCTCAAGGGGCCAAAGAGCCACATGTGGCTCGCGAGCCGCAGTTTGCCGACCCCTGCTCTAGCCAGAGGTAATATGAAATGTGGTGATGTTATTTATGGTGAACAACTGGTGTAACCGCATAGAAGCCGACGAGCCTTGCTTGTGTCCGAAGTCCTGAGTGACCGTGGCTTGAACAGATGGCTTTTGTTGTCATCCCAGAACAAGTCTGGCGTCAGGCAGCTTCTGTGCTGGTTCAGGGACTCACCCTGTCCCAGCTCCTCTGGAGCCTCTTGGCCTCAGTTCTGCAAAATGGCTGCCACGGCTCTGGGCCTCACATCCCTGTTCAAGGCTGGAAAGGGGGTAGGAGAGGTGCCGGCCACCAATGTCCTTTTATCAGGAAAGCAAAACCATTCTCAGAAGCCGCCAAAGGATCTCTTCTTGGTCTCACTGGTTTGACCTTGGCCAGGTGGCCATGCCTGACGGCAGAGGAGGCTGGGAACGTTGCCACTCAGCGTTCCCAGCTTCCAAAGTGCCCGTGAGATTTGCCAGCTGACAGCGTCCACCACTCGGCCCCTCTTCTCAGCGGGCTTCCCTGGGCCATGGGTCCCACCCTGCCCTCTGCCTGACCGGCGGGAGCGCTTGGCTGTGCGGGTGTGGACACGAAGGGTGCAGAGAGAGGACAGGACTTCACAGCGGCCGCGTGGGCCGAGAGCGGCTCAGCCGAGGCTAGAACTCGCTCCCCTGCCTCCCTGTGTGGCTGGGCCGGGCCCTGGGGAGGGGCCCACAGCTGGGCTCAGACAGACTAGGGTTAACATCCAAATGCCGCCCCTCACTGACCATCCGCCTGCCTCGGGGCTCCTCTGTAAAAGGGGCTGATGGATGCCCCGGACGTCAGCCATTAAGATGAAATGAGGTGACACAGGTCACAGAGCCTGGCTCGGAGGGCAGCCGTGCTGAAGGTGGATTTCTTTCTCCTGTTCCTCAGGCCTGCTCTTCATTGGAAAGAGCTCTATTGTCTCCTCAGCTCAGGTGCCAGGGGGGTTGGCGGAAGGAAACACAGAGCTGCAGCGGACAGTGGTGGAGAAGTGAGCTGGGCAGACCCACCCTCTCTGGGCCTTGGTCAGCTCCACCCTGAGCTGGGAGAAGGGAACTGTCCCGGGTTAGAGGGATCCCTTCCTCAGACTGTACTCTGGAGAGCCAGGTGCCACGGGCTTTGCCACCGCTAGCTAGCTGGCAAGTCACTCTCTCTCAGGGGGGACCTGGGAGTGAGGGTCTCAGTTTCCCCACCTGTAAAATGAGGACATTGGCTGGAGGACCTTTGCAGTCCCTTTGGGCTCTGGCCTGGGTCCGCTCCTAGCTCTGTGAGATCGAGGAGAAGTCCCTTCTCCTTCGGGTGCCTCTGGAGACTAAGTGTGTGTGTGTGGGGGGGGCAGCAGTAATCCTGGCTCCTGTTCATGGGCAGGAGCCCCCCCTCCCACTCCCTCCCGGGTCTGGTGGGAGCCCCGGGTCAGACGGGGGCACTCGTGCTGGGCAAGGCGCCAGATGCCGCCCGGGCTGCCGACGGCCTCCGGGCGAGAGGACGGCCCAGCATCAATCAGAGGTGACACACAGTTCAGCGCCACCGCGATCATCGCGGGAGACGGCGGCCCATAAATCCCCGACGGCCCAGACACCAGGGGCTGAAATATGTCTGAGGCATTTCCGGAAGAGGCGCGGAGAGCTCCAGGCCTCTCCTGCCAGCTCCTTCCCTTCCGCCCGCCAGTCACCCCTTACTTCCCCCTACACTCGCCCCTGCGGGCACTGCCCCATGCACTCGCATGCACACACACACACACACACTCACACGCATGCACATGCACGCACACACACACACACACTCACACACTCACACACCCATGCGCGCGCGCGCGCACACACACACACACACACACTCACACACTCACACACACACACACACTCACATGCATGCACACGCACACACACACACTCACACACCCATGCGCGCGCACACACACATTCACACGCATGCACACGCACACACACACACACTCACACACCCATGCGCGCACACACACACACACACACTCACACACACATGCGCATGCACACACACACACATTCACGCACACACGCACACACACACACACTCACACACGCACGCACACACATTCACGCACTCACGCACGTGCTTGCACAGACCCAGCCCTTGAGCCGCACCGTCCTGGCTGGGAGGGGGCAGGGGTCCCGGGGAGGGTGAAGACTCAGGGCCTCTGAATCCTGCAGGCTGGATGGGTAAGATCCCAACTGAACCACAGCAAACACCTCGCCTCCCGGAGCCTCGCCTCCCAGAGCTGTAGGGAGGGGGTTTCGTCACCGTCACCCCCAGGGGTCGTCCTCGTGGTGGAGAGTGAGGCTTCTTCACCACCATTCCCAGCCCCACACTCTGCTCTGTCATTATTCTTGGTCTGGTTTGCCCTCAGACCACGCAGACACTTAGTGTATTTATTTATTACATATTTATTGTCCCCTGGCAGGGCCACGGTGTACGCTCCTAGTGGGGAGGGATATTTAGCTGGGCTTTCCTCTCCATTTCTGTATCTATTGTGCTTAGATTAGTGCCTGCACATAGTAGGTCCTCAATAATATTTGTTAACCGATGAATGAATTGCCGGACACATGGCGAAGTGATCAGCAAGCTGTGGCTTTTATTATGATGAAGAATATGCATTTGTTCACGCACTCACTCACTCACTCATTCAGCATTCACTGCGCTTGCCAAGCTCTGGGTGAGGCTCAGAGGACACCTGGTGTCTGATGGGCAGCTTGTCTGATGGAGTTACACGGAGTGATGATGCATCTAGGCCTTCCCCATAGGATTGCATAGAACTCCACCCTGGGGGCTTTCCCTCACCGTTCTCCCGTTCACCCCCCAGGGGTGGGAGCGTAGGGGATGGGGGGAGCGTAGGGGGGGAGGAGTCAGGCTGCCTGCCCCTACGGCCTCCAGCTCCTTCCTCCTGTCCCCAGTTGTGCCCATGAACGTGAGCTGCTCCCGCATGGACTTCCAGATCCTGATCTCCACGCAGGCGCTGGCCCCCCTGGGGCGGACCCAGGTCTACCTGGGCAGCCGGCGCTGCGCGGCCCAGGAGGTGGACGGCACCTTCCGGATCCAGGCCCGCTTCGACACCTGCGGCACCGAGTCTCAGGTAGGGGCTGGAGAGGGGCGGGCGGGCGGGCGGGCGGGCCCCGGTGCTCTGACGGCCATTCCTGAGGATGCAGCTTCTCCCCCGGCTCCAGTGACTGAACAAGTCTGGGGACCAAACCAGCCCCTCTGGGCTTTACTGCAGCAAACGAGCTCTGTGGAGACAAAACAAAGAGCTCAAATAAGGCAGACGGAGAAGGGGAGCTCACCGCACAGCCTACACCAACCAGAAGCCCCCATTGGAGATCCCTCCCACAGGCCACCTGGTCCTCGCCCCTCCTCAGGCAGAGCTGTGGGAGCCCTGCCGCCCTTCCCCCAGCCCCGTGAGCCAGTCCTCTCCGGGCTCCACAAAACAAAAGGGCCCTTCAAGTTCCAGGACCCACCTCCCTCCAGAGGCAGTGAGGCTTGCAAGTGAATTTTTTCTGCCAGCCTTGTACTTTGGAAACCTAACACCCAGGCTTGGGCCTCTGAGTCTCGGAGCAGTGCCCCGGGCACCCTGGGTGCCTGCATTCTCGGGGACAGGTCAGGCGGGGAGAGGGGGAGAAGGAACAGTGGCCTCTCTCAGGGCGGCCCCCAGTCTTGGCATCTGGGGACTTGCCAGAAATCACATGCTTTCCAGCAAACCGTACTCCCCCCCCAACATGAGCCGAATATAAGCCTCCGGCCCCTCCAGCCCCTCCAGCCCACCCCTGCTCCCCCTGCCTCCCAGCAGCCACAGCTTTGATCTGAGAGGAGGGGGCGGAAGGGATGGTAGTGTTGGCGGTTAAATAATCTGCCCATACCCCAGTCCGGGACCTAAGTCCCCCAGGGTTTTCTTTGGGGCAGAACATGTCCCACAGAACCATGAGCTGATGAAGACAGGAAACCATAAAACAAGGAATCCTGTAGTCTAGGGGGAGGAGCTCACAGAGTCTCTGAGTCATGGAACTGGCACCAGAACTTGGCACTTGGGAATCACAGCGCCTTGGAGTCACAGAACCTTGGAGTGGATACCACGGAGACAGGAGCAGAGAAGCTGGGTCTCGCCGATGCTTAGTGTCACGCTTTGAGGCCCTAGACGGAGAGAAGCAGGCTCCGCCCCGAGCGGCTCTCAGGTGCGTGGCTCTCGGGCCCGGAGCCACGGCAGCCTTTCTGGGCATCGCAGACAACACCGCGGACTTGATTTCATCACTGCAACGTCTCCCGTGGTCTCTGCTTCCTCAGCCTCTCACTCATCACTGTATGATTTTTTTCCACCTCCCTCATGCACATTCACTTCCACCCTTTGACTGGTCCCTCCCCTCTCAGGTCTTTTTTCTTGCTCCGCGTCCCGATTGTTATGAAAACTCAGGACAGCATCCTCCTCAGAGGGCATGGTGGCTGCCAGGCCGAGGGCAACTGGACCTGGACCCGGGGCCTCTGGGAAACCACTGTTGGGAGGGACCCTCAAGGTCACCTGGTCAACAACACTCCCTCCTCCGAAGCGTGCGGAGATGGGACCTCACACTGCTCGCTCCGCTTGAGCAGCTTTGGTGTTTAGAAGCCTCGTCTCAAAGGTGCTGCCCCTGGGCAGGGGCAGTTGGGCAACCTGCAGAGGGTTCGGCTGCTGCAGATTTCGGGAGAGTGAGAGTGTCGCCCTGCTCACTGCAGCCCCACCCACCCCTGCTCCACTGCAGACCATGTAGTCTGCCCATCTAAATACTGCCCCTGGCTGAAGTCGGTTTGCAGACGGAAAGATCCCAGGTTCGATTCCGGACAGGGGCATGTACATTGGTTGCGGGCACATCCCTGGTAGGGGGTGTGCAAGAGGCAGCTGGTCGATGTTTCTCTCTCATTGACGTTTCTAGCTCTTTATCTCTCTCCCTTCCTCTCTGTGAAAAATCAATAAAAATATATATTTAAAATAAATAAATAAATACTGCTCCTGGCCCCGCTCAGTGGCTGAGCGTCGACCTATGAACCAGGAGGTTGAGGTTCCATTCCTGGTGGGGGAAGGGGTGTGCGCAGAGGGGGGGCGTGCGGAGGCTGCCGATCAATAATCCCCTCTCATCATAGTTGTTTCTCCTTCTCTCTCTCCCTCTCCCTTCTTCTCTGAAATCAATAAAAACATGTTTAAAAATAAATAAATAAACACTGCCCCCCAGTCCCCTCCTGAACACTTCACCATCTCAGGGCGGCTAGACTCCTGCCTTCCTCACCTGTGGGGGTTGGCAGCGTGCCAAACCTCACACCTCACTCCTCAATGGCTCCTCCCAGCCTCAAGGTGGTGCCACTCTGGTCGCCAGGGACCCCACAGCAGGGACATAATTGCTGCAGACACACGTGGAGAGAGATTCCAGGAGGAAGGTCACGTAACAGCAGGAACAGAGCTTCCCCCTGGCCTCCAGATCGAGCTCCTGGCGCTGCTGCCTTTGCCAGGCCCCGGTCCTCACATCTGTAAATGGCCGAGGAAGGCAGAGTAAACGTGTGGTCCCATGTTCTGATGAAGGATCGGGCAGATCTGGGTGAGAATGCGTTCCCTGTCACTTGTGTGCTGTGCGGCTACAGACAAGGGATTTGATCTCAGGGCCTCGATGTCCTCATCTGTAAAGTGGAGACATTAATGATACCAGCAAGACAGGTTCAGAGCAGCCAGGCCCAGAGCATCCAAGCTCGGAGCAGCCAGGCCCGGAGCAGCCGGGCCCGGAGCAGTAGCAGCCAGGCCTGGAGCAGTGTCCAGGCCTGAAGCAGCCAGGCCTGGAGTGTTGTAGGGTCGAACCCTCGGTTCAAAATGAAAGGAAAGAAGAAGCAATGCAGCCAATTCGGGTGCCAGTGTTAGGTCCGTCATCACAATGGACTCAGAGAAGCTCCTGTGTCCCTTCACCCAAAGGGACTGAGAGTTGCCCAGACGACAGCAAAGAGGGAGAAGAAAACTGAAGGCTACGCAAGGGACTGAGGTGCCAACATGGAGTCATCTGAAGAAATTAAAGGCTGAAGTGGAAGCTACTTCTTTAATCATGTTCCTGCTCATGCTAGCATCTGTTAGCTTTCAGTCTTCTGCAGTCTTGTGCAGCAAGTCCAAGGATTCTGAGTAAATCTACACCAGCAACAAAAGAGACTCATTTAGTAGCTAAAAATATTAATATGTCCATAATTCTGATTTCTCCTTTTGTTGTTATGCATTGGCACTGTTGTTATTATTTAATAGCCAGAGTTTTGCTCTTGACATTCAAGTTTTGAAAATAACATGTATGTAATTTAGTTTTAAAAAAATTTTTAAAAAGGGGGGAAAAAAATGATACCAGCAAGAGAGGATTGCGAGAATTCAATGAGAGAATGCCCTTAGGTTACAAAGCCTGGAGCATGGCAGGTGTCCCCTGGTTATGTCACTATCTGTCATAGACCCGCCTCTGTGAAGCCAGAGCAAATACCGGCCCCTGCAATCTGCCACTGTCCTTCCAGACACCTCACAGTGAACTTCTGCAGGAGGGGACACGGAGGCTCCTGCGGGAAGCGAGTCGGTGACCAAGCTGGGACTAGGGCCTGGGCTCCTGGGTTCTGCCCCCTTGGTACCGAGTCCCCACGTATCTAGGGGCACAGGGTCAGTTCTGGGCCCCTTCAGTGTGAGTGACCCCTTGTGGCCCCACAGAGGAGGAACAACACCTCGGTGATCGTCAGCACGCTGTACATCGACTTCTCGGCCGGCGGGCAGGAGGACGTCCACCAGTACGAGGTCCTCTGTGAGCCCCGGCGCAAGGAGGCCTCTGTCCGCCTGCTGTCCGGCTCCGACTGGCTGGGGCCCTACGCCGCCACGGCCGAGCACCTGCAGGAAGCGCCCCCCGGGGACGAGGCGGAGGCACTGCCGGGCCCTGCGGCCCTGGTGGCCCAGGACACCAGCGACATTGTCTTCCTGGGCCTGTGCATCCTGGCTGGAGTCCTCATGGTCATGGCCATCGTGGTGCTGATGCTGCTGTGAGCAGGCAAGGTAGGGGCCTGGCGCCTGGCCTCCCCAGGGCAGCCTGGGAACCTTACGACAGGGGCGGGACCGGGCCTCATGACTTGTTGGTGACTGTGTGCAAGTTACAGCCCCTCTCGGAGCCTGAGTTTCCTAAGGACCACCCCTCTGCCGTGCTTATCTCACCCACCCCTCTGCCATACTTATCTCACCCACCCCTCTGCCGTGCTTATCTCACCCACCCCTCTGCCATGCTTATCTCACCCACCCCTCTGCCATGCTTAACTCACCCACCCCTCTGCCATGCTTATCTCACAGGGCTGGCAGGAGACTCAGAGAAGAGCGTGAATGGCAAAGAGCTTTGTGAACTATAGCACGGCACGCATGTGCATGCAACTGCCGTTGTCAATTTTAAAAATATAGGCCTGTGTGTGACTGTCGCTAGAGACACGGTGGATAACGCTGACTGGTCCTGTAACTTGTGAGAGTATTTCACCATCTAGGGAGACGTATAAGGGCATCTCTTATTTTCCCAACTAATCACACATCCCAACCCTTCGTTAGCAGGAAGTTCAGCCTCCGTGCAGGAGCCTTCACTCTCCCGAACTGACCAAGAACCCTGAGGACTTCGTCTAACGCAGCCCAGTCCTGCCTCCGACTCCACAACACAGAGCGGGAGCGGGAGCCCCAGCTAGCACTCTCGTTTCCCGCCCTGCCCCGTGCATGGTGTTCCTGCTGAAGACTGACTGTGTGCCACGTGGTGTTCCTGCTGAAGACTGACTGTGTGCATCCTGGCGGGTGCCTGCCCACCGAGGTGGCGATGCTCTGCTGGGTCAGACCCACACTGTGCTCCGAGGTGAGGCTGGAGGCCAGGGACTGGTGTGGTGCTGACGTTTTTCCTAAAATAGCTTGTGATCCTTGATGAAACGCTGATTGAAGTCCCGTGTGTCTCTGTCCTCCTCACCCCTGATGCTGAGCTTTGGTCACAAACCACCCTTCCCCTGCAGATGAGTCCTCGTGGAGCCCTCTGGGCCTTCTCCTGCCATTGGACTTCACTCAGAGCTACTCCAGTGTACTCAGAGCTGCTCCAGTCCCCTCACACTTTTCTAAGTTTCACCTCAGGAGCAGGGGCTGGGTCCCGGTGAGAAGACCTGAGGAACTGACACATACCTCCCCAGAGCTCCTCATACCAAAAAGTGCAGTAGTCTTGTTAATGGAAAAGAAATTAAAAAATGCATTTATAAGACAACACTTTCCCTTGTTCACCTTTATATTTGCATAATAAGCCATTCCATTACGTCCGTCCACAATAACAGAAATCTGCACGTTTGACCATGCTGACCACGGATCCCAGTTTAAAAAAATGGAGTCCAATTGCAATTCCTTCAACAGCCCAGCAAGCATCCACTGGTTTCCAGTTTTGTGACAGGCTCCAGGCACACAACAGTCAACACATCAAGGAAGCCGCTGCTCCAAGGTGCTTATGGTTGGGTAGAAAAATCGGGATGGGGAGGGCAGGTGCCTGGGTAACTTGCAGAGTCAAGAACTAGAGAGCTGTAACCGGTTTGGCTCAGTGGATAGAACTGTCGGCCTGCGGATAGAACTGGGGGGTCGCGGGTTCGATTCCGGTCAGGGTGCCTTGGTTGCAGGCAAATCCCCAGTGGGGGTTGTGCAGGAGGCAGCTGGTCAATGTTTCTCTCTCATTGATGTTTCTGGCTCTCTATCCCCCTCCTTTCCTCTCTGTAAAAAGTCAACAAAATATATTTTTTTAAAAAGAACTAGAGAGAAGAGAACTATCAATGGAAGAAATGAAGAGAAAGAGTTGCCTAGACATTAGGAGAACTGAGTTCAAGTTCAAGCTTTTTTTAATTAATTGTGTGAGCCTGAGCAAGTCACTCTGATTCTATGAGCCTTGATATCTCCACTCGCAAAATACAGAGAAGACAGCCTGCTGTGAGGATGCAGCAAGGGGTTGCACTGGGGAGGTCTGTCGGGGGCACATGGGGTCATGAATGTGCCGGCAGGAGAGAGCCTTGATTACCACTGGGTACTGGAACAGAGCCCCTCCCTCAGGCCCTCCCACCCACCTTCTCACTCTCAGCCCCCTCCAGCCAAGCTGCGGTCACCAGCCTGCATGTGTGAACACTTCCCAAACCACCTGGGTCTCAGTTTCCCTGTCTGGGAAGGACTGGGCACACGCCAGATGCTCTCTGTGGGTGACCCCCCAGGTTCTGCCTTCTAGAACCTATGGGGTACAGCTGGTGGGACCTGAGACTGGGAGGTCCGACTGGCCTTGTCCCTGTCATGCGGGGGAAGCAATAGCTCAGCCTGGGCAGAGCCTCGCTGTCGGAGCTGAGTGTGTGGCTGCGTGGGTGGACATGCACCCGGGGGAAAGTCGGGGGCCCCTCTGTACTCTCAGCCGCCGGTCTTCAAGGGCCACTGCACGGAGGCCAGAGCTGGGGCTCGGCGGCCAGGCCACCTAAGGTAAACCCAGACCCCCAGGGCTCCACTACTTGCTAGCTATGTCACCAGGGGCAAGGTAGCTCGCCTCTGTAATAACAACGCCTCCTCGTCAGTTCCCTGTGGGGCTTAAGTGAGATCATGCACAGCAGTGCCCAGGACGGATGCAACAAACTTTACCTCTGACCACGCAAAAGCCTAGCCTGGAAACCCCAAGTTCTTGGTTCAGCTTCCCCGCTGACTTGCTGTGTGACCTGGGGAGAGCCCATTCCCTTCTCTGGCCTCATTTCCCCTATTTTTAAAAAATATATATTTTATTGATTTTGTACAGAGAGGAAGGGAGAGAGATAGTTAGAAACATCAATGAGAGAGAATCATCGACCAGCTGCCTCTTGCACACCCCCTACTGGGGATATGCCCGCAACCAAGATACATGCCCTTGACCGGAATCGAATCCGGCACCCTTCAGTCCCCTAGCCGACGCTCTATCCATTGAGCCAAACCGGTCTCGGCTCATTTCCCCTATTTTTAAAAGGCGAGAAGCATCATTATCGCCTCCAGCACGGTCACGGCCACAGCTACCACCTCCTAAGCCCCCGCTATGTGGCCAGTGTTTAAGATGTGTCTGCCATCTCACCCGCTTAACCTAATTGTGAGGCCAACATACATACATTGACCCCATTTTACAGATTAGGAAACTGGGGTTTGGGGAGGGAAAGGGCTGTGCCCAAGATAACATGGCAATGAAAAGCTGAAGCTGGTCTGAAAGGACCCAGCTCTTCCCCGAGCGGGGGTGCTATGCAGAGAGCTGGGGTCCTCTTGGGACCTCAGGCCAAGGCTCTCAAACATCACAGCTGTGTCTGGTCGGGAAAGCGCTGGGATCTCTGGGAGGGAAAGGGTGGCTTTATCCGCAGGAACGTGCCCAGGTACCGCCATTCCCTGCCCTCCAGGCAGCCGGCATGCTGATTATCCTGTGTGAGCCGCAGGAAATAACAGTCTTTGTGACAGCACAGTGCCTATTAGAAATGAGAGGTCTGAGATGATACCCATTAGCCTGCTCGCCCCGGCCCTGGTTGAGTGTCTGGTGAGCATGGCTCAGCTTTCCTGCTCACCTGCCAATTTCCCCTTTTCAGAGAGGGGGGGGGGGCTTGTGTAAAGAGCCAGGTTGGACCCCAGTTCCCTCCTCATCGTCTCTGTGGCCTTGGGACATGACTCCCCCGAGCTGGGAGCGCGGGTCCCCCTTCCAGCCTGTCCCGGAGGGCCAATGCTGAGGATGGGGAAGTCCTTGGTAAATGGAGGTGCCGGCCCTGGGAAAACACCTTCATGACTGCTGGTCAGACAGACCTGGGCTCGTCTCCAGCTCTTTCCCTGACTCTGTGTGACTGTGGGCAGGTTGCTCGACCTCTCTGAGCCTCAGTTTCTCTATATGCGGAATGGGGACAGAAAGACTCTCCTCCTCAGGTCATTGTGAGAACATGCGGAGAGCACCCCACACGGGACCCTCAGGAAGTGGTTGGCTGGCAGGCTGGGCCTGAGGACTCCTCCAATCCCAGAGCTGACAAGAAAGCAAGTCCCCACCCAGGGCCTCTGAGTCCCCCCACACTCAGCCTGCCCAGCCCCTGCTCTCCTGCTGTTCTCCAGTAGCTGGAGGCTGTTCCCACCCAGCCTGTCTGCTGGTCCCTCTCGGAGGGACCAGTGTCCGACTGGGCTCCTTCACATCTTCTCGGCCACAGGCCCTGACCACGCAGCGCCACGCCACACCTGTCCTTCGCTCCCCGTGGGCTTATTTATTTCTGTCCTGGCACCTGCCACCATCGGAAATGGTGGGCGGCTGTGTTCGCTTTTGCCCCCTCATACCTGCTCCCCTCCGTGAGGGCAGTGTTCCCCTCCTCCCCCCGCCCCCACCAGAGCCTGCACACCAGCCTTCCATGCGTGTGGGTGGATGAGTGAGCAAGCCCGTGGATGAACTTGATGCAGTTCCATTCACTCAGCCCTACGTGTGTGACATTAGGGACTTCGGTGCAATCGGAGTCGAGGACATTTCCGTGTCTTCTCTGAATGAGGGAAGCCCTGTGTCCTGGCTTCAGAACAAAGATACCCGCTGGTCCAAGAAGTTCAAGTGGCTACTCTTTTCTGTTAGTGAGTCTCCCAGGGCAGCCCCCACTTGGAAAGGCCCTCGATCTGTCCGCACCATGCCCTGCTGGGAGTAAACCAGCCGACAGTGAGCTGAACCTGGGCCAGATGGGCGAAGTGACCGTGATTTGTCAACCCACCAGAATTCTCCTCTTGGAGGAGGCCTTCCCAGCACCCTCCATGAGCCAGGCCCCGGAGGGATGGGCGCAGCGGGTGTCGGGAGTTGGGCTTGGGAGGGGGCTCCTGTTGGCTCTGCCACTCGCTTTCCACAGCCTCTCCACTCGGTTTCCTCGTTTGCAAACTGGAAATCAAAGTTGGAACGTTTATTGCAATTTGCTCAGTGCCAGACATTTTTTTTCTTTTTCTTTCTTTAAAAAAAAAAAAAAATCAACCTTTTTTGTTCATATTATTACAAAGGTTCCTCATTT